AACGAAGTTACTGAAAATCAATTTAACAAACGGAGACGTAACAGTATTGTTCCTTAACGTTAGCATCAAGTCCTGATCAGGCACATATTTACAGTATTTTGGTAAATTATAAACTTTGTATTTCAATTGTTTGAATGTTTCATTTTGGATTTCTGTGGTTGTCAAAGCAAAATGAACTATTTTTGTGTGTGTATGGTTTGTAGCGGTTGTTTGTGTTTTACACGTTACAACCATACAAATAAATAATTCACTCGGCCTTTAGCTCCTATAACTGACAAATATAAAAAAAATGCGAAATTAAATATAAATGTTAATAATATCAGTAATAACACTTTTCTTTTTAATGTGGCAAGAAGTGTATTAATGCTATTTTTAGCACCGAAAGTTGATTAGTTTTAGAACAAATGTTTTACTGCTAAACTTACATTTTATCAAAATTGAATGACGATTACTAAAACGTTAAGAACTGATTTAAGATATTAAAACCAAATATATAGTCTGCTAATACTTTTGATCGTTTCACCTATTAAATTGTGAAAAGATACAAATAAAGGAATATACTACATACTACTTTGAAGCTTTTATGAAAATATCTCATTTAAATACATTATAAATATGCTTGAGGCTAGTAATAACTTTATTAAATCTGTAATAACATGTGAAAATCGAAAATAACTATAAGGCCCTCTAGTACAATAAACCATAACTAATAATCATGTGACATTAATTCGATATTTTGACGTTGTATCACTTTGTGCTGTAAAGTGAGCTAGAATGTATTATACTTTTTGATAAAGAAGATAATCTGAGTGAGGTCTTTAAAGTTACATTTAACGAAAGTTAACTATAAGTAATTAAAGTTGTTTGGGATTTAAAGTTCAAACATTATCTAGTCATACTTATTTAATATTGCTATTAAAACTAGTGGTACTGGAAGTGTAAAAACTAAAACTCATATTCGAGAGTATTTTATACTGTAGTATAATTGTCATTGCGTTAGGCCTACGTTAAAAAAGTATACCATAGACTGTAATTGTAAAGTGTAATTATATAGACGTAGTAAAATAAGTTGCCCGAAAGCACGCCAACCTATCGTATCATCATGCTTGCACTTATAAACAGAATTTTGGACTGGCTTCGAAGCCTTTTCTGGAAAGAAGAAATGGAATTAACTCTTGTTGGTCTGCAGTATTCTGGTAAAACCACGTTTGTCAATGTTATTGCAGTAAGTTTCAACTTCGTCTTTTTAAAGTTGGCAACTTCTGCTAACACTAGTAGTATAACACACATATTGGTAACGCGAATTGTATGAAAATTAATACTATATAGGCTTAACCGTTAACGTCCAGTAACAAATAACCAAAAAGACAAAAATCATGTCAGTATACTTATTTAAACTTCTAAAATTATTTCTTAAAAGCAAGAGAGTTTATGTCGCGTAGAGTCACATTTGAGATAACTTACAATTACAATTTACCACATTTAGTGGTACTAGTAGTGTTCTTAGTTTCATTCTGTAGTGCAGGTAAATTATATTACCACTAACAACGTGACATGATTTACTTATGACATCTACTAACAGTAAATTTATAGGTGTAAATAAAACAAGCTTTATAATAGGACGTTTGTTCAAGAGTTAGTTTTAAAACAATACCTAAATATTAAAGGTTAGATCTCATAATCTAAATGTTAAACTAGATATTGAATTTCATGCTTAATTTGATATATTTTTTAACAAAAAAAAGTAATGCTAAGTTACACAGATTGAAATGTTGCTATTTGAATGAACTATACAAAATAACTGAACCTGTATTAAATAATTTCTCTGTGAGCACTGAAAAATGTGTTTCTGTTTAAATGGTTTACTTAAGAGTCAGTTTTGATTTTGTACTTTTAACCATTTGGCACTAAGTGGTAAGACATTAAATTATTCTGTGATTTGATCAAGCTACTGTACTGGCCCTTAGGACTGAATATTAGCTTTTAAATATCAGCCATTTGATGACCTTTGAATTAAAGTGTCCAAGCTCTCTGTATATGATATGTTTGTACAATAAACCTGACAATCTATAAATTTACATCATTATAAGTAGTTTCATTGAGGAGACCATCTTGTTCAGATGTATTTGCATGGTTCAAATGTGCTGAAGATGACTTCTCATTAAACTGTTATGGCTTTTCCGTAACAGAGACCAACAAGGTTCTGTATGCCAAAGTGCAAAATTTTAGGATCTTCCCACATAGCTTAAGAGTAGCAGCATTATATATTTATCGAAACTCTTCTGATAAGTTAACGTATTGGAACTCTTCTGGTAAGTTAACGTATCGGAACTCTTCTGGTAAGTTAATTATCGGAACTCTTCTGGTAAGTTAACCTATCGGAACTCTTCTGGTAAGTTAACGTATCGGAACTCTTCTGGTAAGTTAACGTATCGGAACTCTTCTGGTAAGTTAACCTATCAGATATCTTCTGGTAAGTTAACATATTGGATATCTTCTGGTAAGTTAACGTATTGGATATCTTCTGGTAAGTTAACATATTGGAACTCTTCTGGTAAGTTAACATATTGGATATCTGCTGGTAAGTTAACCTATTTGGAACTCTTCTGGTAAGTTTACATATTGGAACTCTTCTGGTAAGTTAATGTTTTGGATATCTTCTGGTAAAGTTAACCTATTGGATATCTTCTGGTAAGTTAACGTATTGGATATCTTCTGGTAAGTTAACATATTGGAACTCTTCTGGTAAGTTAACCTATTTGGAACTCTTCTGGTAAGTTAACCTATTGGAACTCTTCTGGTAAGTTAACGTATCGGATATCTTCTGGTAAGTTAACACTGTAATTGTATTTTTTTGCAGTCTGGACAATTTTGCGAGGACATGATTCCAACAGTGGGCTTCAACATGAGAAAAGTTACGAAGGGAAATGTTACTATTAAAGTAAGTTAAACATCATTGTAGATTTTAGCTTGTATGTCATATTTTTATAGTTCTGAACTTTCCAAGAATTTGCAATGTTGTTCGTGGTTTGCTATTTAACATTCACATATAATACTTGAAAAAAGTAGTATTGTAACACTGTCAGCTTGAATTCTTGTTTTGAGTAGTGTTATTTGTACAGCTGGTTATTAACAACATTTTTATCAAGGAAAACATGGTAATAATTACATAGTACATTCATACAAGTGTAATTTATTCTTACTTGTTTTAAAGACAGAAGGAAAAGTTTATAGAAAACAAACTTCTGGCCTCTATTTCTTGGTTCTGTAGGCAATATTTTTGCTGAGACAGCCATTAAAGTGGTTCTGTGGTTTTCTACTGTCTCTTCTTGTCCAAAATGCACAGGAGACCAGGCCTACATCATCATTTTATCAGTTCTTGTTAGAAATGTTAATTTTCTGGATAATTACTTCATAAAACTTTTTTTTCACAGTTTTTCTTTTTAATTTTAAAATTTGAATGTGTAAGGGGCCAATACTCAAAGTTATTGTTTGAAATAAATAATATTAATATTGGGCTCGTACTTATTAGTAGTAATTTCTTAGATAAAATTACAAGCCATAAATAATACTACAATAGTAGGATTTGGCATAAGTATGATAATAAGATTTATTTTTTCAAGAAATGTAATTTTTCTTTTTGTAATCATTCATATTTCTGAACAGTAATAACAAAAACAAATGGTTCAAACTATTACTTTCTCTCACTCTCCAATACCATGTTGTATTGCTGTCTTCGTTGAATTCTTTTTCACTAATTTATTTTCTGATTTCTGTGAGTCCTCATGGTTGTAGTTGCCAGATTTTAATCATCATTTTTAATCCATCCTGCTGTTTGTGGTTTTATCATGGAGGAGGTGGGTATTATATTGCATCTGTATCAAGTTTCGTCAGTTCTTCGTATCTATTTATTGTAGGCAGCTGTGGTTTGTAGAAAACTAAATACTCTTATAGTGAATTTAGATAACGTTTAATCTTCACAAAGTCCTGTCCATTATTTTAAAGTACAATAATGCCAGATAATTTTCATAGCTGTATAACTTGGTTTGTCTTATCACCATAACCTGTGTACTGTTGGTGGGATAGAATGAAAACAGAAAGTCCTAATGGTTGGAAAATGTTATCAAGAACTGTTCATTAGTTTCTTATAAAGGTGATTGTTGCCCAGTGTTCTTGAAGATAGTGGACTACGCTCGTACGACACTGGTTTGCCAGGTTATGAGATTGGTTGCAGCTGGTCCACCATTCCAGTCATTTGAACTTGGATGACTTCATCTTGTATGTTTTTGTGTATTTTGGAAAGAATGTTGACCTCTTGGTGTTATCTTGGCTGCTTGCAAATACTCCCTCTGTTTAGCTGTATTTTAATGTACAGTACAATTGTTTTGTAACCAAATATTACAGGATAACAGACACATTCATGGGAAGTTATCAACGTGTTAAATTTCGCTAATTGCTGATGGACTCGTCTATCTTGCTCCAGTATTTTTAGAACTTTTTATTCGTGTATTTTTTTTTTGGAATGTTCTAAATAGTGGACTCAACAAACTATCAATTTCTGTATTCAAAGAAAGAAAATGTTCATAGTTTTCTAGACAGTTGTAACATGAAATGACAAGATATACAATAAAGTATTTTTAACTGATTCAAAAATTCGTTTTCTGTAGCCTAAAGGTTAACAACTATGGTCTGTTTCCACCTAAATAATTAGAAATTGAGTTATCCATAAAATGCTAAAAATTATTTATAAAAATCTTGGGAAAATTGGAAGTTTTCTGACTTGTTTAACAAACTTCTGTTGTCATGAATGGGATCAGTTATTTGTCAATAGTTTTTGTGACACTATACTAATTAATTTTCCTTTTGCCTAAGTAGGCTTCTGAAATGGGTTTGCCACTTATCTCAATACAACCCAGTCCTTTGTTTTCTAATTGTGGATTCTTGGCATAAAAGATAATGTTTTCAATTAAGGCCCAACTTTTCTGTCCTTGGTTTTTTTCTTTTTCTAGCTTTGCTCTTGTATTTTTCTTCATGATAATAATTGCTGCTTGCTGAACAAAGATAGGAGTGTTTATACCAGAATAGCTTTCAAACTTAAGTCTTTAAGCCACAGTAATGAGAACTTCTGACTATTTTCTTTGGCTCTTCAGTTGCTTAGAGTTGTAAAAAAAATTTGTAATACAAATTTATTTATATATACCTTGAAATTAGAGGACTGCTCCAAAAATTACTTATTTTTAAGCCCCCTGGTGACTGAATAATAAGCTGAGAGCTTATAATCCTATCAGTTGGATTTCAGTACCCCCATGGGCACAGCACAGATAGCCCATTGCATACTCTTGTGCTTAATCACAAAACAAAGAACCAAAATAAATCAACATTCAGAAACACAGAGTGGAAACTACAATGGTGACATCATGAAGATACCTTCTGAAGTGGGAAAACCAAATATACTAAACTCAACATCCGAAGTGAAAATTTAAGTGTTAACACCGTGAAGACTTCTCTCTGTTATCAGCATGTTACCACTAGGGTTTTCACTCTGGGTGTTGATTTAAGTGTTAACACCATAAAGACCTCTCTCTGTTATCACTAGGGTTTTCACTCTGGGTGTTGATTTAAGCGGTAACACCATAAAGACCTCTCTCTGTTATCAGCATGTTATCACTAGGGTTTTCACTCTGGGTGTTGATTTAAGCGGTAACACCATAAAGACCTCT